CCTTCCTCTCTGAGGCTTGCACCATGGAGTGTCCTCCTCCCCGCCCCAGCACTACCCTTCCCAATGCCCCTCCTTTCTTGCTAGAAAACAAGCAGTGGGAAAGCCGCACCGCACCTGGCTCCAGGGCTGGCTCTACCCCTGGCTGAACAACCTCTCACTTACACTCTAATTTCCTCACCCGTCACACGAAGAGCTTGGCAAGGCGTTCGCGAAGGCTCTTTCTGGCTCCAGCGCTGGAGAAGCCTCCAGTTCCCCGCACCCCGCCCGGCCTGAGGTCTGCTCTATTCCTCCCAGGCCCTCGGTTCAGCCTGAAAAGAAAGGCCTCATTCAGGAGGGGAACGCGGCCCGGGCATTGGCTCCCTCCAAGGGCTCCCTGGCTTCTGTCTCCAGCCAGCCTGGACTTTCACTGCTTGCAACCTTGTGACTTTGGATTACCTGACCTTGAATCCTGCAAGCCCTGCACTCCTGCTGAGCCCTCTCCTGACCTGACTGCCTGTAACTGGGACACCTCGCCTGCTGACATCACACTGTGTTCCGCTGCCACGAACGGGGCTGCCTTGGGGCTGCACAACTGGATGCTGCCGGCCAGACTGAGTTCTCCCTGGGCCATCAGCATGGCCCCTGCTGACGACAAGCCTGCCGGGGTCCCGGCCCCTGCACAGTCCTCTGAGCTCACCCATCTGCCAGGCAGGGTTCACAGTCTGCCTGTGATGGATTCATTCACTCCACAAACGTGCACTACGATGCCTACTGGTGACAGACGCTGCTCTAGGCAAAGATACACCAGGATGGATCGCAACTGCTTTCCGTACGGAAATACCGCCCTGCCATACACACTTCCCTGTCGATGAAGACTTTACCTAACCCAGCACTCTCTCACTCAGCAGGTACTGACTAAGCACGTACTATGTGCTGGGCGCTACCCCAGGTTCTATAAGAAAGAGCAGCTTTGAGAAATGCAACTTTCTACATATACAGTGGCTAGGAGCACAGGCTCTACCAGACAGACTCTAGGCTGCATGGCCCAAGACAATCATGAAATTTCTCTTGGCCTCAGTCCCCTCACCTGAAAATGAGGCTAAGAACCATACTTCACTGATGAGCTCACTGTGGGAGTGAGACAGCCCATGCGAAACGCTCAGAACACGACATGGCACGGAGTAAGCCCCTGAATAGGACCCGTATTTTCGATGTTCTCCCAGAGGCACCAGCAAGCAGCACTTAACATGCCAGGAACGTGAAGAGTCCCTGCCCCACCCGGAATCCCCAGAGTGCCTTTGTGGGTGTGCATTGATGTAATGCAGTCTCCACTTGACCAGAGCCAGCAGAGAGAAACAGGTCACTATACAGAGCACTCTATACAATGCCGATGCTTTCACGTGGGTTAACCCTATATCAATAAAGGTATGGATGCCAAAAGCCACTGAAAGGAAAAAATACAGGAGTATTTCAAAAAGTTCATGGAAAATGGAATCCAAGGAGAAATTTATATTGGCACAAAAAATCCTCAAATCCATTCATGAAAGGATCTTGAAAAGGTTCATGGAAAAATGCACATTATGAAAAAAGTTATGCATGGATTTCAAAATTTTTGTGCCAAAATAGACATTCTGAATTTCATTTTCCATGAACCTTTGTAGGTACCTGGTATACCCAACAACACAGACAGACAATCCAAGAGAAAAATGAGGAAAAGGCTTGCATAGGCACTTTTTCAAAAGAAGAGACCCAACTGCCATCATTAAAAATGCATACTCGGATCAAAGCACAATATGGGGGCCGGCATTGTGGTATAGCGGGTAAAGTCGCTGACTATGACACTGGCATCCCATATGGGTGACAGAGTCCTGGCTGCTCCACTTCAGATCCAGCTTCCTGCTAACAGCCAGGGAACAGCAGCAGAGGACAGCCCGAGTACTTGGGCCCCTGCCACTCATGTCTCCGAGAGGCCCCGATGAAGATCCTGCCTCCTGGCTCCTGGCTTTGGCTTGGCTCAGTCCTGGCCATCGTGGCCATCTGAGAAATGAACCAGCAGATCGAAGATCTTGTTCTCTCTGTCTCTCCCTCTCTGTAACTCTAACTTAAAAAAAAAAAAAAAAAAAAGTACATCTGTTTTTTAAAAAAGCACAATGTGACTAGATACCCACCAGCATGAATCCAAAGAAAAAGAATGATAATTTCAGATACTGGCAAGAACTTGGAGCAACTAGAACTCTTTTACTAGTGGGAACACAGTTGGTACAAATGCTTTGTCATTATTAAAACTATGATCCAGCAATTCCATTCCTGAGTCTTTACCCAACATATACATGTGTGTCTATACCCATGTGTGTATGTACAATGACACTATATCTGTGTGTATATGTATGTATATACATGCATACTGATTCATCAAAAGATATGTACAAACACATTCACAGCAGTGCAAAGTCTGCACACAAACACCCACCAGCTGTACAATGGAAAACAAACTGGTCTGGTAACGATAGGGAATATGACACAGCCACAATAATGGAAACCTACAATGGCTCATGACATGATGAATGGCACAAGAAAAATGATGAGTGACAGAAGGCAGACCACGGAAGAAAACTGAGTTCCCTGGTGCAACAGTGAAGAGCAGGCGAAACTAATGTAAAACCACGCTGTGATTTCAGCAGTCAACATGGGGTCACCCTTGGAAAAGTATCAGTAACTACGAAAACAAGTGAGGCACCTTCTGAAGGGTCTGGCCATGTTCTGGTTTTCTGGGTTTTTTGGGTCTCATTTTTAAGTGTTCAGCTGGGTTGATCCAGGTGTTAATTGTAGGCTGTGAACACTTGGTACTGAACACTTACAACTTGTTCACTTTTCTGTACGCATATGTTAATAAAAATATTACTTTATTAAAAGGCTAATGAGGGGCCAGCATAGCACAGTGTGCTAAGCCTCCAGTTGGCCAGCATCCTATACTGGTGCACTGGTTTGAGCCCTGGCTGTTCTACTTCTGATCCAACTCCTTGCTAATGCACCTGAAAAGGTAGCAGATGTCCCAAATACTTGATACTACACTTGCTTCTTAGCCAAAAGGCTAAGCAATGTCAAATACTTGGGACCCTGCCACCCACGTGGGAGAGCTGATTGGGATTCTGGGCTCCTGGCATCAACCCAAACCAGTCCTCACCAGTGCAGCCATTTGGGGAGTGAACCAACATACAGAAGATCTCTCTCTCTCTCTTTCTCTCTCCCTCTGTCACTCTGCCTGTTAAATAAATATTTTAAATAAATCTTTAGGAAAAAAAAATAAAAAGGCTAACGAGAAAGATGAGAAAACAAAATGAACTTTTATCCAAATGTATCTTGCCCCAGCACCAACAGATTTCAGGGCCTGCTCTCTGCTCCCAGACTCTGGGCACTTTTCCGCCATGTCTTAATAAACAGCAGAGACATTAATCCACAAAACTCCAACAGCACATAAAATAAACACGTTTCCAAAACTCCAAATTAACTTGTCAGGCTTTATGTTTCTATGAAGTCAAGTTGGAAAATATATATGGGTTTCATGAACGTGTGTTGACACACGGAGTAACTTTTATGAGAAGTAAGATTTTTAATAAGAAGTGGTAGAGAGGCTGGCACCGCGGCTCAATAGGCTAATCCTCCGCCTTGCGGCACCGGCACACCGGGTTCTAGTCCCGGTCGGGGCACCGGATTCTGTCCCGGTTGCCCCTCTTCCAGGCCAGCTCTCTGCTGTGGCCCGGGAGTGCAGTGGAGGATGGCCCAAGTGCTTGGGCCCTGCACCCCATGGGAGACCAAGAGAAGCACCTGGCTCCTGGCTTTGGATCAGCGCCGTGCGCCGGCAGCAGCGCGCCAGCCGCGGCGGCCATTGGAGGGTGAACCAACGGCAAAGGAAGACCTTTCTCTCTCTGTCTCTCTCTCACTGTCCACTCTGCCTGTCAAAAAAAAAAAAAAAGTGGCGGAGGCCACAGGTGAAAAAGAGTGGAAACCACAATGGTCAAGGAGATGACTGCTGCCAATCAGCACCAGGGACTTGGATCTCTGGTGGCTGCCATGGAGCCCGTCTGCACATGGTCAGCCCCAGCAGAGGCTGGGAACCCAAAACCAAGCTCAGGTTTGCAAGCAGGCGCGTCGTGAGGAGACCCAGGGACACAGCAGAGGGATCCAGAATGCTGACGGGTGAGTACGAGCGACCCAGCGGCTGGCAGACGAGTGACCAGCAGTTCCTGACCCAGCACAGGAAATAGCGGCTGGGTGTGGGCAGCCTTGGGTACATAAGGAAGTGACGTCAGCCGGCCATGGAACAAGAGGATGTAGCCTTGGGTGTACTCTGCCCCGTGGCAGGGATGAGCAAGCCGGGCCCAGCGCAGCTTCTTTCACGCATGGGCGTGAGTTTCTAAACACACACGCCCTCACCTACTCGATCCACTCAAATATTTACCACCGCGGACGGGGCTCCTGAGGCTTCCAGCTTCCACTGCCTTACACTCGTCGGCTGAGAGAGCAGGAACTAGAATCTGGGTCCTGAGCCCCAAGCAGCATCGCAGCCCCTTGCCCGAGGAGGGGAGTGGCAAACGCCAGGAACATCAAAGGGATCTTCCGCGGAACCCATTAACGACGGGAGAAATAGAAAAGAAAAATTCAACAAAAACAGCCAACCCCAATGTCACGTGCCAAACGTCATCCGCTCGAGAATTACCTGTTTGGTTTGGGTTCAATCCAAAAACATATCCGCCTCCCTCAGCCATGGGGAAACTGAGGGAGGACATCAGACTCCCGAGAACAATAACGAGAAGCAAACTGGAGCCAAGGAGAAACAAGGTTGCTTGGCCTTACCGGGTCTTCTGCTCTGCCAGTCTCCTCCTGTACCACTCCCGTCACACCATCACGCCGTCTTCCCCCCGAGGCATGGTGTGCCACTGCTGATGTCACAAAGACTCCAGGTAGTGAGGTCACGTGCACAGAACCTTGAATGTGTCCTGCAATTTAAAGAGTCAGCACATTCTAGGATCCATACACAGCTACCCTCCCTCCTCCGTCCACAGCAAGCAACAGTCTGCTGCACTTGGGGAGACCTCTGCCCCTGTCCTGGCCTCTGTCAAGCAGCCTTGCCAGCTGCAGTGCCGGCAAGATGCTGGGACGCAGAGCTATCTGTCGACAGGTAGGATCTTTCTCACTGGGGAGACACACCATGTCCTCCGGGGCGAGGAGTACATGCTTCCCGCATTTAAGAAAACTAGCAGGCAGAATTCAGTTCTGCAAGGCAAAGCAAACACATCATGCTCTACAAATCAAGTCACTACACACACACACACACACACACACACACACACAGGGAGAGAGAGAGAGAGAGAGAGAGAGGCAGAGAGAGAGAGGAGGAGGGAGAGAGAGGGAGGGAGAGAGAGGGAGAGAGACAGAGGGGGAGAGAGAGGGAGAAGCAAAACAGCTCCAGGCTAGACTGCGATCATTTCTACAAGAAGCATGCTTAGAAAGGCTTCCCTGGTGCCCTTGGAGTTCATCTTGAAGGTATCAGTGCCCAAATGAACCAATTTCCTAGGCTTATCGGGTGCACCAGTGATGTGGCTGCACAAAGGCAGCCCTGTGCCTGACCTCAAACACACCTGTGGCTCCTACAGGACACTGTGGGTGCCTTAGGGACAAGACACCGAAAGACTTCACCGCCAAGGTTCCCCGTAGATGCCAAGGGTGGGCACAGGCAGGCAATGGCTAGACAGCTTCTGGTTTCCGGTCGTTTCCAAGAGAAGCAGGGAGCTGATGACGACGACCTCTCGGGGTCACTTACAAAACCGCCTCCTTGTACCACAGCCACTCAACCTCTGCACAACTGACAGCTACAGGGAGGGCCGCCCTGTGCACTGGGGGTCATTCAGTACCACGTGGTCTTTACCCACTGGACACCTGTAACACCCCTTTTTTTTTTTTTTTTTGACAGGCAGAGTGGACAGTGAGAGAGAGAGAGAGAGAAAGATCTTCCTTTTGCCGTTGGTTCACCCTCCAATGGCCGCCGCGGCTGGCGCATTGCGCTGATCCGAAGCCAGGAGCCAGGTGCTTCTCCTGGTCTCCCATGGGGTGCAGGGCCCAAGCACCTGGGCCATCCTCCACTGCACTCCCTGGCCACAGCAGAGAGCTGGACTGGAAGAGGGGCAACCGGGACAGAATCCGGCGCCCCGACCAGGACTAGAACCCGATGTACCAGCGCTGCAGGTGGAGGATTAGCCTATTGAGCCACGGCGCCAGCCCTGTAACACCCTTTCTACCTCTCAGGTGTGACCAAAAAGGTCTCCTGGTATTACCAAAGACCGCCTGGGAGCCAGGGACAGGAGGCAGGGGACACGAAGCTGCCTCTGGTTGAGAGGCGCTGCCTCACATGACAAGTCACGTCACACGGACGCCATCCCAGCCCCGGCTTCACGGTACAATCATCCATTTTGGGAAGAGTCTGCAAGATTTAGCTGGTCATGATCAAAGGGCATCAGGAAACAGAGCTCTTGCAGGGAAGTGACCGCCAGATCCGAGGAGCGGGAAGAGGGGGTCCCCTGAAGTCCCCACTGTCCACTCCCAGACGCCCAGCCCACATCAGGGCAGACCAGAGAGAAATGCCCAGCTGTCCAAGAGGTGCCGTCCACCTACATGGTCATTCGCTTCAGGAGCTGGGTGTGCACACACCACCTGCCCACCTCATCCTGAGAGGAGGGCAGGCCCGGCTCAGCCCCGCCCCTTCCTGTGCTCAGCTCATCCTCCCAGACCAGAGGGCTCTCAGCAAGGGAAGCGCAGGTCTGGCCCACGAGGGCCCCGGGAGCAGTTGAGGTCGGCAGCCAGGGCCCAGGGAAGGTACCAGAATGAGAACCGCACACGTGAGAGAGGGACAGGCCGAGGGTGGCAGGATTCACCCAGAGGAGCAGCCTGGGCACTGGGGCGGAGCCAGGCCTCGGGAGGGCGGGGCCAGGGAGGTCAGCAGGACAGGCTGAGGGTCTTCCAGGCCACAGCCTTGCCCGGGCAGAGCCGACGCTGACCACGTTGCTGACTATAAATCTGGCCCACTCGGGCCAGATCTGGCTCAGTCCGGGCCGGCCCCCCGCGAGCTACAGTTTTGCTAAATTTAGTGCTGTTCCCAGCCACCCAAACGACTCTGCTCTTCGTGTCCATTTCAGGTTCAGCCGGGGACAGACAGAGAGGAACAGGACTTGTCGAGAAGAGATCTGCCCTCGCGTGACCCCTTCCTTTCCCTGCTGAAGTCAGGGGCCCCGGGGGAGCAGAGACGTGAGAAACCACAGTTGGAGGTCTCTGGGCGCTGGCTGTCTCCAAGCACTGGACACAGGCTCTGCACTCCGGGCGGCCCTCGGGGTGAAAATGGGCCACCGATCCCGAAAGAACAACCCTCCCGCTGCCCACCCGTGCTCCCAAGGTTTCACTGTCTGGGAGTCGCGATGCTGCGGGGTGAGGGGCCCCACACGCATGGCGAGTGGACAGAGACACCTCCAGGAGAGGACCAGAGGGCGGCTTCCCCACAGCACTCTGGGCAACCCTGGAGGTGAAAGCGGCTCAAAAACAGGTTAAGAGAGTGGTTCCAGCTAAGCCCGGCCACCCGCTGGAGTCACCTGGAAAGCATCAAACACTCCTAAAGCCCGCGTCCCTCCCCAAGGCCTCCCCGCTGCTGTCCCGGGCTCCGGGAACTTTCAAAGCTCCCCAAGTGCTTCTGATGTTCAGACAGGTTTAGCAGGCGGCGAGCGGGGCGCGTGGGCCTCTGCTTTCATAGAGCTCTGTCTTCACCCGCCCTGGGGCCAACTCCTAACCAGATCACTTCCTTGCTCTGTCACCGTGTGTCACCATGGCCTTTCGGTGCCTTGTTTCACCAACTACAAAGCGCATGCAGCAAGACGGAACACCCATCCCAGAGGGCTGCTGTGCAGGCGTCATGAGACCGTCCAGGTGGGGCGTGGAGGACGCGCATGTAGTAAGGGCTCAATGAAAGCCAGGACTCTCCACTGTCGTAGAGAGGAGGAGGAGAGCGGGAACCAGGAGCTGGGTCCGCGCTGTCCCCGGAGCGAGTCTCCAGGGCTGACCTGGGAAGCAGGCGGGCGCCAGAGGCGGCCCCGGCATCTGCACTCGGGTGGGCGCCCGCCCTGTCGGGCTGTGCCTCCTACCTTCCACATCACGTGCTCCTCTCCACATCCCACCACTGAGGGTCCAGCTCCGACCTCCCCAGGGCTGCCCTCCTCAGGTGCCCTGCACCGCGTCCCCACGATGCCTGCCTCTCTGAGCAGCCACCGCCAAGTCGGATGAGTGAACGCGCTGCTACGTCCTGGCCCCGCTGCCTCAGAAGTCACTTAGCACCGTCTGGGAGGCCTGGGGCCCCGGATGTGCCACGGCTGCCGAAGACTCAGGGGTTGGAAGCCTGGTCCCCGGTGTGGCGAGGTGAATGGGCTGGGGGGCCTCGGAGAGGCGGGGCCCAGTGGGAGATGGTTAGGTCCCTGCAGAGCTGCCCCAGAAGGAACTGACGTAGCTCTCGCGGGCTCCTGGCTACTTTTCCAGGAACGGTGCTCAGAGAGAGCATGCCTGGTCCTCTGTGTTCTCTCTCGGGCCTGCAGCCTCCTCACCCTCCCACCAGGATGTCATCCACCACGGGTGACCCAGCCAAGGAGGGCCTCCCTGGAGGCCAACCCAAGAGTACACTGCCCTTGAACCTCCAGATCTGATGGCTCAGGACATGGCGCAGACTTGGGCATTTTGCTGTAGCCACAGAGAAAGGACTGCTACGGGCAGCCAGCACCACACTGCACTGGGCACACAACACTGGATGGACAATCACTGATGGACTGAAGGCACACACGGAGCCAGCAGAGCTGGTGACACAGCAGCCAGGACAAAGGCTCCACACCCCAGGCCCAGCCCCCAAGGCCCATGGCATCCATCATGACAAGGATGCACCATCACCTCATCCCATCCTGGGAGACCCTGCCCACCTGCTCCTAGGATCCGTGGCTCCTGCCACGAAACCAGCAACCCCCAGTCTCCCTAAAACCCAACAACAGCCAGGCAGAGTCCTACCCTGCCCACACGGGAGCCCAGAGCAGCTGGCCACCCAACAGTCCGTAAGCCTCTTACAGATTAAAGGTCCTAATTTAAGCCTCTATTTGAGGGAGGACAAGTGGGTCAGCACTCGGCAGGCCGGATGGTGCCGCCCGAGGAAGGAGGAAGGACTGAGAGCCAGGGAAGGCTCCTCTCCTTTGGGGGAAGACAGGGCCCGAGAATCACGGATGGAGTGGAACCACTGTGGCACGGGGGTGCCCATGCCATGCATCCAGAGTGCCCCCACGGCGATCTGACCTCTAACCTCCCATCCAATGAGCCTGAGAAACCGGACGACAGGGACTGGCCTTCCACTCCCTGCGCTGGCCTCAGTAGGCAGGATACAAGGAGATTTGTTGCTAAAATAGAAAATTTCAAAAGAGTGAGGGAATAGTTAACAAAGGTGAGACCCAAGAGAAGGGGGAAGGGGCTGGTCACCTGCATTCTAGGACTCACAGCCTGGTGACCAGGGAGAGGAGGGCAACGTGTGCTCCTCACCCCCTGGTTGAAGTTTTCCTGGCCTTTCTCCCCAGCTCCTCTGCAGCAGGAAGCAGCGGGCAGGGTGCACAGTCACAGGCAAGCCCAGGGTCACGCCGTCAGGGCCTGACTCCAGCTGCTCTTCAAAAAAAAAAAAAAAAACCCTCTCAGGCCAGCTTTGTGGTGCAGCAGTAAAGCTGCCACCCGCAGTGCTGGTATCCAATATGCACACTAGTTCAAGTCCTGGGTGCTCCTCTTCCTATCCAGCTCCCTGCTAATGCACCTGGGAAAGCAGTGGAGATGGCCCAAGTGCGTGAGACCCAGAGAAAGCTTCTGGCTCCTGGCCTCAGATGGGCCCAGCTTCAGCCACTGCAGCCATTTGGGAAGTAAACCAGCAGATGGAAGATCTCTGTCTCTCCCTCCCTCTCTTTAACTCTGCCTTTCAAATAAATCTTTTTTAAAAAGGAGGGAAAGGCCGGCGCCGCGGCTCACTAGGCTAATCCTCCGCCTAGCGGCGCCGGCACACCGGGTTCTAGTCCCGGTTGGGGCGCCGGATTCTGTCCCGGTTGCCCCTCTTCCAGGCCAGCTCTCTGCTGTGGCCAGGGAGTGCAGTGGAGGATGGCCCAGGTGCTTGGGCCCTGCACCCCATGGGAGACCAGGAAAAGCACCTGGCTCCTGGCTCCTGCCATCGGATCAGCGCGGTGCGCTGGCCTCAGCGCACTGGCCGCGTCGGCCATTGGAGGGTGAACCAACGGCAAAGGAAGACCTTTCTCTCTGTCTCTCTCTCTCACTGTCCACTCTGCCTGTCAAAGAAGAAAAAAACAATCAAGTAAGGAGGGAAAAAAAGCCCTCTTGCCACATGTGTCTCCATCGACATGGGCTCCCGGGCAGCGGCTGGAACCCACTGGCCAGGCTGAGAGCAAAGAAATCCTTTCCAGGACAGTGTATCTCAAACTCTCGGGACCCTGGTCCACAGTACAGAGAAACTGTACTTGGTGATCTAGCCCAAACGGACACGTGCGTGTGTGTGCGTGTGTGCGTGTGCGTGAGACTTCAGGTTTCAGACCACTCATCTTTACCACACACTATGCAATCCAGCAGTTTCTATTCTAGTCCTTTTTCTTAATGCTGGACTCTAGCCATGAAGGCGTCTGGACTCACAGTCTGAACATCACTCTGGGGAAATGAAAGAGGCTCTTCTGGAGAGAACTGTGACCCTGGCAGAACCTCCCCACAAAGCAGAAGACCACCAAGCACATGGGTGAGACCTCCGGCAGGGGCCAGGAACCGCCTGAACCCCGGTGGCTCAGTCCTTTCTCAAGCAACAAGTGCCCCCCAGAACCCCCAGGTCTGTGTCCAGCGCAAGCCTCAGGAGCACCTCCCCCAGGCCACTCCAAAGGGCGCCCTCCAGGGCTGCCCAGGCTCTAAGCACAAGCACAAGCCCCGCCTCTCACCGCAGGAACTCACCTGTGACACACACAGGCAGAGATGCCAAACCCAGGCTGGCAGCGTGGGCTTCTTTATTCCCCTCCCATCAGCCTATCTGCACATCAGATACACTGTAAAGCCCTACAGGACAGGAAGTTGCTTGTTTTTAACGGCTCGTCCAGGGATATTTTTCACAGGAGGTTTCTGGACAACAGGAAAAAGATAATGCAATTTCAAGCCATGGTCAGCCAGTCTTTCTACTTTCCCAAGAGGCCTACAAAATTGCGCTGCCGCCTCCAGACAGCCCTCCCTGATGGATCAGAACATCTAAGGAATTCTCCAAATCCTAACCTAGGGTAATATGAAACCCTAATGACTCCCTTCCATACTCACTGTTCCCAGAAATGCAACACACTGCCTCTTTATATCTGTAATTACTGCCTGGCTGGGTATCTGAGTTGGAAACCATGACACAGAAAAACATCATAATTAGTAAGTTTCAAAGGTTGATTTCTTTTCTATTTTTCCCCAGGTAAATTTTTCTTGTGTGCAATGCTAAGAGCTGCAAATACTGGTTCACTTCATCCATGCCAGACGCCTCCTCCTCCATGGTTTCTGCAGATTCACTGGAGCACTGGGGTGCCTGCCACCCATCAATCCCCCCACCCCCCCGCCAAAGCCAGAGTTCCTAAGTGGGACAACTGCACAAGTCGCAAAGATACTGGAGAGGGAGCAAAGAAAGCATCTCATCCCCATCTTGGGAGCTCACTGAACATCAGACGGCTCACGGGGCCTACAGCTCGGCTTTATTCCTCGGGATGGTGTCTCAGAATGAGAACGGGCACAAGAGGCTAAAAGCCACCAGCCCCAAATGCTCAGAAAGCCAATCAAGACGCTCCTGGGACTGTGTCTGGCTTCCCAGTGCACAGCTCCTGTCTGCCACACGCACACCCTCTTTTCCTAGCACATGAACCACCGTCTGCCAGCAAGCCACGCCCTCCTCCACCTGCACCTGCAAGCACCAGCCCTGTGCTCTCAGGTGAAGTCCCCCCACCGTCAACGCCTCGCTCTGTCCCAGACACATTCACGAGCACCATGCCAGGCTCCGAGGGTACAGCCATGGACCAGACACAAGGATCTGCCCTGTGTCCCAAGAGATGACCCCAGCTCCCGCCACTCCCCCCACCTGCCAGCTCACGTACGCTGTCTCATGCATCACTTGTGTCCTTTTATTCTTTGTCTTCTGTTTTAGGTCAGGAGGTCCTGTCTCCCTCACTTGTTCCTCCCTCTCCCATCATCACTCCTCTCCATCCCCCAAAAAAGGAACTGAATCTGTCACCCAGGACGTCCTATACCAAAACGCACCAATGAGCAGAGGCTGCGGGGCCACCGGTGCTCTGAGCAGCACAGAACAGCAGACGGGGCACGCCTTGGTACCCGGCCACGCGGGGGAACACAGGAAGCACACAGGCGTCTGTTCCTGGCCACAGCCTACATCGTCATTGCTGCTGCTCGTCCTTAAAATGGCACTACTGGCCACAGCAACCCGCAGAACTCGGATGCGCGTGTCCAGGGCTCTGTCTCTCGGGTTATCAAGGTGCCAGCAGAGCACGCTTCTTGCATGGCTGCACAAATATTTTCAGTGTCCGGCAAACTGACAGAATTCACAGACCACACGTCAAAGACCCAACCCCCCTCTCTCTCTGAGAAGAGAGCTGGCCATCCCAGCGACCGTGGCCCTCCCCTCCGGCAGCGTCTGCCAGCCCACTCCCAGGGGAGCGTCCAAGCCCAGCTGTCCACGTCCTGCGTCACAACAGGGCCACCGCTTGGACCTGCCACTGTCTTCACTACCCAAAGGATGCGCAGCCGACAGCATCGAGACCACGCACTATTCTCCCTAACGCCACAAAAGCCTCGAAGACCCTAAGGAGTGACCCCAGCAGCCACTAAAGCAACCCGACAACTGGAGTTCAGTGACGTCCAAGAAACAGAACCTCGTAATCCCGGAGGGAAAGAATGGGTCCATTTACCAGCACGATTCAGTCAATAAACACGGGTGAAACCCAGTGGGCAGCAGCAACCTCACTCAGATTAGAGGTGGGTTAGGGAGGCGAGGGTAACAAGGGAAAACAATCAGATCAATCACCTCTGATGAGCATGGATGTACCCACAAGAATGAAAAAGAAAGAATTCGCCAGTCTGTATCTATTTTTAATGAAAACCAAAGAATTAAACCTCACCAATACTTAGCAGGCGAGCTCACCCCGATGCACTCCTGCAGTCTGGGCTCTGGGTTCCTGTCACCTACTTTGCATCTTCCTGTCTGAGGTCCAAGTGCGGAAGGATGGGCTGTGGGGCCAGCACTGTGGCGCAGTTGGCGAAGCTTCCGCCTGCAGCACTGGCATCCCATAAAGGCTTCTGTTCTAGTCCCCGCTGCTCCTCTTCCAGTCCAGCTCTCTGCTATGACCTTGGAAAGCAGTGGAAGATGGCCCAAGTGCTTGGGCTCCTGCACCCACGTGGGAGCCCTGAAAGAGGCTCCTGGCTCCTGGCTTTGGATTGGCGCAGCTCTGGCCATTGTGGTCATTTAGGGAGTGAACCAGCAGATGGAAGACCATTCTCTTTCTCCCTCTCTCTGTCTGTAACAGTTTCTCAAATAAGTAATAAATTAAAAAAAAAAAAAAGATGGACAGTGACAAGTGACAGCCCCAATGGTCTAAGGGACCAAGTATAATTGATACATGCCTATTAAGTAAATTTAAATTTAGGCAAATTTAAAGATAACCATCTTCAAGAATATGACACTCCCTTCCCACTCGAGGGTGAGCCCTGGAAATCACTTGACCACACTGCCGTTGAGCGTCTCATGGGAGCTGCCCAATTTAAAGAGGAATTATACTTTTTTAAAAAAGCAGAAAACAAGGGTTCTAAAAATTTACTGACTTTTCCTGTCAGTAGAAAGCTACTTAATGAATTTTTTTAAGCAATTACATATTTAATTTGTTCCTTTAAGGCAAAGATGGAATTTTTTCAATGCATAAGCAAGACACTGCTGTCTGCAAGAGCGTTTCAAGACTGGGCACTTAGGAATCACTTCCACCAGCATGTGTGATGCTGCCCACCTCAACGTTAAGGATGTCGTCACGGGGCCAGCACTGTGGCACAGCAGGTTAAGCCACAGCACCAGCATCCCACAGCGGACAGCTGGCTGGAGTCCCAGCTGCTCGGCTTCTGATTCTGCTTCCTGCTCCTGTGCCTGGGAGGGCAGTGGAGTGCTTGGGCCCCTGTCACGCATGTGGGGACCCAGAGGGAGTTCCAGGATCCTAGTTTCACCCTGGCCCAGTCCCAACTGTTGCAGCCATTTGGGGGGTGAACCAGCGGACAGAGTATCTGTCTCTTTTCTGTCATTCTGCCTTTCAAATAAATCCCTTAAAAATCATCATTAACATTCTCCTATCTCTCCTTACACTCAGAATACCCAAATGTCTTTTAAAATCTCCCCAAATGAAGTATTTCAGAATTCTTGAACCCATGGATGAAATAAAACATAAAAATACAAACATTTTCAGAACAACAGACTTGTATCAGGAAAGACCAAAACGTCTTAGCTACATTTCAACAAAAATCTTTCACAAATTGGTAGATCTGAATAAAAATCAAGTATTAAGGTTTATTAAGTATGATCCAGAATGCATTTCTACCACGTGTGGCTATACATCTTTGTGGGGTTTCTTTTAAAGTATCTGGATTTGAACCAGAGCCTCTAATTGTTGTATGACACTAAGATATTCTGAAACAATAAAATAGACCCAACTGCTTTACTCCTATCTAAAAATAGTCATTCTTCATCATCCATGC